TCTTATTTACCTAAATGCTCAAATCTTTTGTAGCTTTCAATATTTTCTCAAGTTAGCTTCATGAAATTTTGAGATTGAAGGAGCACAATGATTGCAAAGCTATCCCATGAAAACAATTCCCACAGTCTAGCTAGCCACATGAAAGGAAAAGCTCTACTTGTTCTGTTGTGAGCTCTTAAGGTGAAGACAGTTAATCCAACTCTCTCATGTTTTCAGACTTCATTAATTGTCAGTGAGAAATTATGAAGGCTGCAGACTTGTGGTAGCTACCATAAAACATTTTTCACCATATGCTTTAATTTCAGATTAAACCACCATTTCAGGATCCAGATACAGAGCAGATTTATTCAGGTTAGGTTTTTTAACCAACAGAAGATAAAATGTTAGAGGTTCAAACAGCTTGTAATAATTGTCAACCTGTTTTGTGAGCCACAACATTTTTCTTTCAGTTTATAAGCTGGAGCTTGAGAAAATTGTAGTATACATTTACCTGCTTCCCAGGAAAAATCCTGCAAGGTGCTGAGGTTTGTAATAAGCACCAGCACTTTCACTGAGTTAATGGAGAGCTGAAGATGCTCAAAAGATCAGGTTTGTGGCCTACCCCAGCAACTTCTTGTTTAGGGCTACTGGCCTATCTAAAGACAGCTGGCTGTGTTAGTTTTCTGCATACGTGCTGCTTGATAGTTTAATAATGCTAAAATAATAAGCTCTTTAGCTTTCTCCCAAATCACTTACAGTTCTTCCATTTTTTTTCCTCATATGTGTGTGTCAGTGTACTCACACTTGAACACAGCACTTAGTATATTGCATTATCTCTGATTATTATTGAAATCCTTGCTTATATTGTTCAAATTTGAATAGGATAATTGAAAGTGTACTTTATAGCTTAGGCAGGCTTTCATAGAACAAACACATCTACTCACTTTTTTGTTTCTTATTTTTAATTTTTTTTTTTCAACTTCAGAAATGCCCATAAAGTTTTGTCCTTCTATCAACAAACATTTATTGCTACTAAGGTGGTTTTCTTCTGAGGGCATCTGAGATAGCAGCTGATAGTGACAAAGCAATGAATTAATGAGAAAAAAATCAGTCTGTTACTGGCTTGATTTTTTTCATTCTGTCAAATGGAACGGTTGCTTAGGAAGGTGTTAAAAGAGACACCTGGATTTTTTCTGTATTTATATATATGTATTTTTTACAATAGAAAGATTTTTTTTCTGTAATTTTAGTAATACAAACAGAAATCATTTTGGACCTTGAGAGGCCTTGCTAAATAAAAAGTTGGCTGTTTGGCATAAAGGAAGTGAGGGTATGGCATCAGACATATTAATATCCATTTAACAGAGAGGAAAGCTTTTGGTTTTTTGATAGTTGGGTAATACTGCAGTAAAGTTTTGCCATTTATTAATTTAATAGCTTAAAACATGGTCAGACTGAGCCAAAAAGCCAAAAAGCTGGCGTCAGGCATTTTGATAAGACATGAGACAAAGTTCTTTTCATGCATGAGCATTTTATTGAAAACCATGCAGGTCACTGTAACAGGCAGTCATTTTCTATCTGATGTATGATACTCATGATTGCATGAGTAATTCTGTGATTTCCTACTGTGTTGTTCCTACATGGCCATCTTGCTTTACTGTGTTTAAAAGGCTGCCTCAAACATACAACAAATTTATTGATATTTTTATTTGCACGAGTACTTCCTACATCCAGTAATGACAGGAAGATTAGCATGGTGTCTTGGTTTCTGCTCAAGAAGACTTGTGACTTTTTGTAGTACTTTTCAGTGTTTGATCAAAAATGAACTTGGCAAAAATAAAGTGGTTAAATGAAGTCCTCTTAATCTTAATCTAATCTGACAGTCAATAAAAATTTGAGCAGACTTTATTAGCATAGCACTAATAATTCTGCCATTAACAGGAAGAAATTTGTCTTAGATTTACAAGGCACTAATTCTTTTTCAAGCTTTTTCTATTTCCATTCTGGGATTAGAAGAGCTCAGAGGTGTCTGATACAAGGCTATTTGTCTTTCTGTTTGTCTGAGCCTATTTGCTGGGTCAGGGTTTATAGGAGAGATAAAAGATGGCAGAAATGTTGGAAAGATTTTTGTTTTAGGAATCCTTAAACTTGAACAAAACAAATAAATGTTAAGAGGGGATTTACCTACTGGACTTGGAATGAAAGGAATGGGATTTATATCATGAAATTCCCTTTTCAGTTTTGCAGACCTCAGCCTTCTCTTAAAACAGGCTCCATTCTGGCACTTTGAGCTGCACTTAATAAGCTACACAGTAGTGATACAGGGCAACGGGTGTTGTTGGTGCCATGTCCCTAGTCTAGAGTTACAACACTCTATCATTGTGAATTACTGGTATACTAAATATGCATTATTTATTGGATTGATCTGTCTGATGTCAAAACAGCTCAAAAAACCACTGAGCAGGCAGCCAGGTAAAAGCTCATTAACTAGTTGCTGCAGTTCTCTGTGTCCTAAGAATCTCTGCTGCATAAACACAGATGGTGTAAATATTTTCTTAACATTGCCCATACATTGGTCATATATATGATTCTCTAAAGCACAGAAAAGGGAGGTTACCTTCATTTCCATTTATTCCTTGACCTCTGAAGAGCAGGGTACAGAGGGATTCAGTTAGTGACAAGCACTGTGGTAAGTTGAATGGTTCATGCCCATGTACTCAAATCTCACAGTTCATGCAGAGAGATAGGAGTTACATCCATTTGTCCCTGATTCAGCATCCTTCAGGTGAGATTTTTAATTTATTCGGCAAGAAAAAGGCCTGCCTAGTTTTTCCTTGTCAGTGGGCAATCAATGTCTCTCTCCCTTCACCTCGGTCAACATCTTCTCAACCTGTAAGACAATTTCAGCTAAACTGGCAAATGAGGAGGCCACAGAAAAAATAGGAAGTTGCACAAGCTGGTGACAGACAAGTGGATTTGTTAGGTCTACTGAGATATATGGGAAAGACATTCTGAAAATACTCAAGCAGACCTTGCATCCATAGGATGCAAGGCTGTAAGAAATTGAGTTCAATTAGCTCTAGATTGACTGATTGCTTTTTGGTTTTGTTTTTCAGTTTCATTGTAGGAAATGTCAGTAATTGACAGGTGCAAGGAACTCGACCCTTGGCAACCTGGATGTTACCATCTCTGCTCTCCCCACCTGTTGAACACAGTGGTGTGAACGCAAAATTGATAAGCATAGGACCATCTGACTGTCAGATGATGTATTAGCTGTGGTATGCCAGTTTAAATCTGTAGGGATTTCCTTCTATTCTGAGCATTTTGAGATTATTATACAAACGTTGAGTAATCCTCACGGTTTTGTGGGAGATGATGCCAGAACCCAAATTGCTCACTTCCTAGTAACGTACAGGTCACCCTTCTATCGGTTGGTATGACTGTGGTTAGTCCAGGCTTTCTGAAACTCAGCATTGCATTTTTCCCTTATTCCCTCTGTGCAGAGGTGCAAAAGATGGAAGGTGACACACTCCATGTGCAGATGCTACCCTGGCAGGAATGGCTTTCTGTTCTGTGAGTTGTTGAATCACTTCCTAACTTCTGCACCCCTGAAGAAGGTATCTGAACACTTACGAATCAAACGAGTGTTTTATCAGCATCTCTTGCTGATACCAGTTTGCCAGTCAAGGGGTTGTGTCTGGAAAACTCCCTTTCTGCCCACTGGAGCCAGGTGTTTCACTGCAAGAGTAGTGCTTTAGAGGGATAACATGCTGTGAGGAATCTGCATGCCAGGATCATTCTCACCTCATGCTTGTGTTTAAATTCTGTTAGGTGGCTTTGTACAGCAGTATAGGCCCTTTAAGCTTTCAATATTGTCTCCAGAAATCAAGACATATATTTATATATAGTATATATACAATATACTTGCTTCATATATAAGACATAAAATATTTCAGAAATGAGTTTAGCGTGCAGCCCCCTAAGGAGCCCCAGTGGCAGCTTTTGATGAGTGGGGCCAGGTGATGCTAGGCATCCCAGGCCTGTAAATGGTATGGGTAAAAGAGTAGATACAGGTTTTGTTTTCTTTTCTGGCTCCTAACACAGCTCCCTTCTGACTCTCCTGCTGCACCTTCTCAGGACTCACAGCCAAACTCCGCCCTGGTTGGGCATGCCTGCTTGCCAGGTGGCCTACAGTGACAGACAGGTAGTGGGGATGGCTGGAAGTGCTGCAGACCTGCCCAGTGGGAGTGTTCACATGTGGGCTGATGATGCCTGCACATTTGCAGCTGGAATACAGGGTGTGGGCAGCATGGCTGTGGCTTGGTGTGCAGCCCCATGTGTGCCCCTGCCTGTGACCTGGTGTGTGACACCATGTGTAGCCTGGTGTGCAACATGGTGGGTGACACAGAACCATAGACTCAGAATCATTTGATTTGGAAGGGATCCTTAAAAGCCATCTAGTCCAGCTCTCCTGGCAATGAAAAGGGACACCTACAGCTTGATCAGATTGCTCATAGCCCTGTCCAGCCTGACCTTGACTGTCTCCAGGGATGGGGCATCCAACTTCCTGGGCAACCTGTGCCAGTGCCTCACCACCATTATAATTTTTTTTCCCCATTATATCCAGTCTAAATCTCTCCTCTTTTAGTTTGAAACCATGTCCCCTTTGTCACCACAAACCCCACTAAAGAGTCTGTCCTCTTCTTTCTTACAGCCCCCATTTAGACACTGAAAGGCTGCTCTCAGGTCACCTTGGAGCCTTCTCCAGACTGAACTGCCCCAGCTCTCTCAGTCTGTCCTTGTTGGAGAGATGTTCCATCCTGTTGATCATTCTTGTGGTCCTCCACTGGATCCTCTCCAACAGCTCCACGTCTCTTCTGCACCGAGGACTCCACATCATGATGCAGTGCTCCAGGTGAGGTCTCAGCAGTACGAGACACGGTGTGGTCTGATGCGTGACCTGGGGTGTGACCCGATGTATGACAGCGCGTCCCCCCGTCTGTAACCCAATTTATAACGCGATGTGCAACACGATGTGTGACTCGGCGCATAATACGGCCAGCGTCACGGCGTGCGACCTGCTGTACAGCACAACGCGTGGCTCACTGCGGGGACGGCGCGTGTGTCCCGGCGTGCGTCCCAGCGCCCGATCCGCTGCGCGCCCCGCCGTACAACGCAGCGCGCGATCCCCCGTACGACCCGCCGTACGCCGGACGGCGACCCGCGGTCCGACCCGCCGCGTCCCGGTGCCGCGGCGCCCCGCTCCGAGGATCCCCGCCGCGCGGCGTTTCGGCGCGGGCCAGCAGATGGCGGCGCCGCCCCGGCTGGGCGCGCAGCCCCGCGCACGCCGCTGCCGCGCGAGCCCCGCTCCGGTTACAACCCTCCCCCGCCCCCGCCCTCCGCGGCGGTGTCTCCCTGCCCGCCACCTCCCCGCCTGTCACTGCCACGCCGGAGAGCCACCATGGCGCACGGCGGGCCACGCGTGTCCCCCGCCGCCGCC